AGAGTAGATCCCTCTTCTAATTTCTAGAGAACGAATCACGACAGCTCTAAATGCATTTTGATAATCTCGCCCCTTTAACAGAATGGTCCAAAGATTGGCAGATGACCCAGCTCTTGCTAATGAGATGTAACTGGAATTCTCTGGGAAGGGCTTTTCCTTACCCAAGATCTAAAGCTGTATAAAGAGAAAACCCTTTCATTTCTCTAATGGCAAGTGATGATGAGCTTTTCTTTCATATGTTTGTTGGTTGCATAAATGTCTTCTTTTGAAAAGTGTCTGTGAATATCCTTTGGCCACTTTTTGATGGGGTTGTTAGTTTTTTTCTTGTAAATTTGATTAAGTTCCTTGTAGATTCTGGATATTAGCCCTTTGTCAGATGGATGGATTGCAAAAATTTTCTCCCATTCTGTAGGTTGCCTGTTCACTCTGATGATAGCTTCTTTTGATGTGCAGAAACTCTTTAGTTTAATTAGATCTCATTTGTCTATTTTGCCTTTTGTTGCCATTGCTTTTGGTGTCTTAGATGAAGTCTTTGCCTATGCCTGTGCCCTAAATGGTATTGCCTAGGTTTTCTTCTAGGGTTTTTATGGTTTTAGGTCTTACATTTAAGACTTTAATCCATCTGGAGTTAATTTTTATATAAGGGGCAAGGAAGGGATCCAGTTTCAGCTTTCTGCATATGGCTTCCAGTTTTCCCAACACCATTTATTGAATAAGGAATCCTTCCCCTAATGCTTATTTTTGTCAGATTTGTCAAAGATCAGATGGTTGTAGCTGTGTGATGTTATTTCTGAGTCCTCTGTTCTGTTCTATTGGTCTATATATCTGTTTTGGTACTAGTACCATGCTGTTTTCATTACTGTAGCCTAGAAATACCATTTGACCCAGCAATCCCATTACTGAGTATATACCCAAAGGATTATAAATAATTCTATTATAAAGACACACGCACACATATGTTTATTGCAGCACTGTTCACAATAACAAAGACTTAGAATCCCAAATGCCCATCAATGATAGAATAGATAAAGAAAATGTGGCACATATACACCATGGAACACTATGCAGCCATAAAAAAGGATGAGTTCATGTCCTTTGTAGGAACATGGATGAAGCTGGAAATCATCATTCTCAGCAAACTAACACAAGAACAGAAAACCAAACACCACATGTTCTCACTCGTAAGTGGGAGCTGAACAACGAGAACACATGGACACAGGGAGGAGACATCACACACCGGGGTGTGTTGGGGGTGGGGGCTAGGGGAGGGATAGCATTAGGAGAAATACCTAATGTGGATGACAGGTTGATGGGTGCAGCAAACCACCATGGCATGTGTATACTATGTAACAAACCTGCACATTCTGCACATGTACCCCAGAACTTAAAGTATAATTAGAGAGAAAACCCTTTCACTTTCTCCTTCATCCTGCATTGAATACAAATGTGATGTCTGGAGGAGCAGTAGTCATTTCCTGACCATGTAGCAACAGGCAAAAGAGAAAGGCCAGGGAATCACTGAGATGTACTAGAGAGCCGCTGACCCGATGTTAGCTATGCTACTTCCGGACTCCTTGTTATTTGCGAAAAATAAGTGCCTCTTCATTTATGCTACAGTTGGTTGGCTGTTTGGTTACTTAAAGAACAAAGGAATCCTGACTTGGGATTATATTATATCTATTTATACAGCAGTCACATCTTATCCAGCGGGGATGTGCTCCAAGATCCCCAGTGGATGCCTGAAACCGTGTCAAATCCTATATATGCTATGTTTTTTTCCTATACATCCATACCTATGATAAAGTTTAATGTATAAGTTAATCACAGCAAGATATTACTAGCAATAATTAACAATAAAATAGAACAATTATAACAATATACTACAATAAAAGTTACGTGAATGTATTCTCTCTCTCTCCCTCAGGATCTCTTTTTGTGCTGTACTCACCTATTTTCACACTGTAATTGACCATGAGTAGCTGAAACTGCGGAAGGTGAAACCACAGAAAAGTGGGAACAACTGGATTTTTTTTCCACTCAACAGTGATTTTGAGATCTATCTATGCAGCTACAAAGGGAGCATCGTTTAACTAGTGAATTGTGCTTCATTGTGGAATAGGTCATGTTTCAGCTAGCTAGTTCCTGCTAGGAATATTCTGCTTTCCATTTTTATTTTACCATCAATACTGTAATGAAAACCCTATACACGTGCTAGCGTTTCTTTAGGGTAGGTACGTAGAATGGGCTCCTAGAAGTGTGGCTGCTGGGTTATGGGCTATGCCCATTTTCAGGTTTAGTAGATTACAGCAAAATGGCCATAGCAAAGTGGCTGTTCCAATTTATACTTCCAGTCAGGGGAGTGTGGGTCCCCACCCCACACCCGTGTCTACTTTTCTTTGACCACACTTAAGTTTGTCCTTTTGCCAATCTGATGAAAATTGCTATTGCGTTGAAATTTCCCTGGTTGCTAATGAAGGTGAGCTTGCTGTGTGTGTGGGTTGATCATTTGTGTCTCTTCACATTGTCTGCTCAGAGCACTTGCCTGCTTTTCTACTGTGTCATCTGTCCTTTACTTATTGACTTATGATTCCATATCTCTTGTGGGTCTGGTCCCTTTTTCTGTGTGTGTTTTGAGGCTCTTTATTAACATGTTGTTTGTCTTCCAATCCCAGCCCTGCAGCAGTGATCCCTGCTTACTCTAGATGACACAGAGCACATAAACAGCAGAGCCAGGACTCACAGCCAGGCCACCAGACATCAAGTTTCATTCTCTCTCTGTTAGGTTCTGCTGCTTCCCCAGTGTTCAGTTACAACGTAACCAAGTACCCGCATTTTTCTGAGAGGTAGTTTAATTATTTTTTCCTCTCTCTTCTTTTCTGTTTCCTCCTTTCTCCCACTTCTTACTCAGCCCTTTAGAAAGGCAATCACAGCCTTTTACCTCCTCTTCACCAGACATCCCCTACAGGGCAAGTTCATCTGACTGTGTGCTTAGAAGCCCACCAGGAGGTTGCCTCAAGAGATAACAGTTGATTTAAAACCCAAACTATGCCCGCTGAAGTTTTGAGCTACCTTTCCAACTTACTTCCACCCGTGAACACACCAACCTGACTGCCTGGTAGATCAGGCACCGATGTGAGTATGCTGACCCGGCACCTGCTCACTTCTGCCCTGGCGTAGCAGCCCCATTCCATCTTTGAAGCAGAGAGCATGCCCCTCACCCAACACTGATTCTACTGGCAGCTTGATCTCAGACTTCCCAGCCTCCAAAACTGTAAGCCATACATTTCGGTCATTTATAGATTACCCAGGCTGTGGTATTTTGTTATAACAGCCCAAATAGACTAAAACAGGCATGGAAAAAGAGTCATTATTTCCAGAGATTAACTTGGGTTCCCCAGGGAAGGAGGAAAAGGCACAAAGGCTCGTGTTTTGAGGGGCTCCTGTCTCTCTAGATCACAAGGATCTGGAAAGCGTCCTCATTGTCCACATCCTGTGACCCATTGAAGGTGGCTGCTTCATTAGTTTCCAGAGGTCGCTGGCGGCAGTTCTCAGGGCAGTAGTTCCTAATGTTCACTCTTCCTGCCTCCCCAGGAAGAAGAAGAAAGCCCACTTTCAGCAGGGCCCCTGGGAGATTTTAGGGCTCTCTCAGAGGCCCTGCATGAGAGTGGGCTTTGGTCTTCACAGCCTCAGCTTCCACAAACACCCTTCTTTTCCCAGCCTGGGGGTGAAGGAGGGGGTCTCTCCAAATCTGTTCCTCAACAAGTGCTCCCACCTTTTGCTCTGTCCTCCCCCGGTCCCTCCCCACTTCCCACCCCACAAGACAATCAGCACAATTACCTATTAAGAGCCTGGGCTTTGCAAACAAAAGCCCCAAAACGTATCCTCTGGGTGGCCAATGCCTTCTGCGTTGGGTGCTGCCACCCATTGCTGCCCATTGGGCCCCTCCGTGGCTTTTCCTCCTTGGCGTTGTTTGCAGTCCTCCCTGCCGAGATTAGAGCCAAGGCTCCAGCATCCACACCTCTGGAAACCCTTCCTTCTGCCTGTCCTCGGCCTCAGAGCTGCTGTGTGCAGAGACAGCAGGCTCACTGAGCTTTCTAAATTTCAAGCCTTCCCCTCTGGAAAGTGAGGCTTCTGGTCTTCACCTCCCAGGAGGTCAGATGCCTGTAAGTGGAAGCTTTGGAACAAGAGCACGAAGGGTGAACTGCTACTCCTGAGCCCACCATGCTGCTTCTGTGCAGTGGGAGTTTTCTAGGTCAGCCTGACGCCCAGGGCCATCAGTGGCCTGGTGTCTGCTCCAGGATCAGACCCTAGTTCTTAGTCTTTCCTCTGCCCCCTCCCTTCCTTAATGTCCCAAGGATGCTGGAGTCTGTATAGTAGCTCCTGGCCTGACTCTGTCCTCAGAAGAGGGCCAGATTGGAAGTCTCACAGCCTGCTCCTGCAGGAAATCCTCCCACTGTCCCCATCTGCTGTTGGGTCTGGCTGGTTTCAAAGCCCCTCACACTCCAGCCTGACAACGCCTTCCGCCTCATCTCTCTGGTAAAGCTCAGGTACCAGCCACACCAAACTTTCCCCCATTGCCAAGACATGTCATGTTCCTCTACACTTCCATGTCTTTTCGAAGCTGTTTCCTCTTCCCCAAATATCCTTCCAACTCATTGTGTCTACCTGTCAAGCTCCTATTCACCCTTCAGTACCTCAGTCCCCCTGAGATCCTGAGGTTATGACTGGGCCCAGTGTTAAAGTGTGCTGTGACTGATTAGTGATGTCTGCCGTGGGGGCAGGAGTTGGGAGAGAGAGTCCGGGTCAATGGAGTGGTCATCCCTGTACCGAAGTGTGCCCACCCCCCGTTAGTCTCTCTTTCCTCAGTATCTCCAGGTGTGTGTGTGGAATCATGGCCCTAGCCACACTGTATTTTACTATTTGTTGATCTATATGTAGACTTTAGGCTCAAGGGCAGAGACGGTGACATGTTCATCTTTGTACCTCATTGGCACACAATAAATCTCAATACATGTTTATTGAAAGAAAGAGAAATATATAATTTTCCAAAACCCTCATGAAGTGAGTAATATTTTCCCCAGTTTTTGAAGGAGGAGAGTGAGTCTCATGGATTAAGCCATGTGTCCTACAACTTGAGGGTGGTAGGAACAAGATTTGGGTCTGGACAGCCCTGTCTCCAGAGCCTGACACTTGTGCAGAGTGCACTATTGCTTCTACACGACAGCCTTTTGTGGACTTCAGGCCCATGGCATCTCCAGGCTTCTTTGCAGGTGGCAGACATGATCAATGTGCAGCTGGTCTTGAAAGGCTTTGTGACCCAAGATGAGTCACTTAACCTCTCTGGGCCAGCTTCCCCACAAGCAGAGCAGCAGTAACGATCTTTCATGGCCTTTCTCATGGGGCCTTATATGGTTCATATCAGCTTGCAGGATGGGAGAGGGCTTTGAAGTCTGCAGAGCTAGATTCCCATGTGAGATTCTAGTTCATAAACACACAGAGCAGAGGCCCCACCAAGACCAGACTCTATTTCCCCTCGGGGAAAGCCACCTCCTCCATACTTACCTGCCTGCCTTGGAAAGAAGCAGGCCAGTGGAGCTCAGCTAGTGGGGGCTGGCGGGCAGCCTCCCTCCCCAGCCTCCTTTCCCTTCATTATTGCACAAGTGTTGCCACATTGTGGGAGCAGTCTCAGGTCCCAGACACTCCAGAGGTTTCAACAGTAGCCTGAAGCCTGGTTATCTAGCAAGTGAGTGAGAAGGGAGAAGGTGCCAAATAGACACGCTCCACCTTGTTAAGGCCAAGGAAGAAGAAAAAAAGCTGGAACTTTGACTGTTGGATGCAATTCTCTGCGCCAGGGGCCTTGGATCTACCTTGTAAAGAGTTATCTGCTTGAGACCAGCCTCCCTGGAGGCCTCAAGGCTGGGCTGACTTATTCCAGAAAGGAGTGAGCAAACATGGCCACCTGCCCTGGTAGGTGACTGCCCAGCTGGGCAGAAATGCAAAGATGCATTCATTTATCTATCAAGGATTTATGGAATAGACAGTGGGTGCCAGGCTGTGTGTGGGGCACTGGGGACATGCATGCTCTTTGCACATAAACTGCTCCTGGCCCTTTGGCCTAATTCTCAAGATATTTGAGGAAGGAAGCACCCTCTGGCCCTATAGCTGCTCTCCATGCTTATATGGCTTAGGGAAAAGCTCTGCACTTGGACTTGACTTTAGAACATGTTTCCCTCACCCAACTACAATCTTGTTTTTATTTACAATCTGTGCAGCCCTGTGAGGAAGGCATAGCAGGGGCTAGTCCCCACCTGGTAATAGCTGGAAACACTGGAGTGCTGGGTTCAAAGAGATCCTGAGGTTATGTCTGGGCTCAGTGTTAAAGCATGCTGTGGTTGATTAGTGATGTCTGCAAGGGCGGCAGGAGTGGAGAGGGATAATACAAGTGCAATGAAGGTCTCATCCCTGCACTAAAGTGTGCCCTCCTCAAGGGCACAGGTTGAGTCTTGTTCACTAATGTACCCATGATGCCTGGCATGGCACCTGGTACAAAGTAGATGCTCGGTAACTATGCATTCTATATAAAAGAACAAAGAACAGTGAGAATGCTGAGACCCAGGGTGAGGAGTGGAACCTGTCCAAGGACACATGGTGAATCCAGGTCTCCTAACTACCCACCCTCTGCTGTCTTGTCAAAGCCAACATTCTCCCCACCCCTGTACTTCCATCTCAGAGCAATGACTCAAAGTCTCTGTCATTCATTTGAAGCATGCCTTTGAAAACCAAAGTTGCAGGTGGCCCAGGCTATGAAAAAGTCTGGCTGGGAGAGAGGGTCACCATGCCCTCCTCTTTCAGGGTTGGGTACTAGGATTGCACATTGGATCTGCTCTGGGCCAGAGTGAGACCAGAGATCTCAGAGTGGCCTCCCCCGCCCCTGAGCTCAGCATTCAGAAGGACTAGAGGAGGCAACGTCATTCTCCTGGGTGTGTGTGTGGCAGTGGAGGGGGTGCATGGGTAGGGGGGAGAGACAGTTCCGGGACGCACTGCTGGCCCCTAGGCAGAAAGGAGCCAGACCCTCTCTTTGCACAGATCACCAAGAAATATTTCAGGTTGCATCCATTCCCAGATCTGGCCCAAACAATCCCAAAACAGAAAGTTCAAGGATTTCCAATAAGAATCCTTCCCAGCAGCCATGGGCAGAGTTATTCCCATCCCCCAAAAATCGTACTAATGAGCATCTCTTGATGGGATTCTTTCCTCCGGTCAAAGTGCTCTCATAACCACGCTCTTGGCATAAAGTGAATCATAGGATGTCTGTGCTTAAAGGGACCTTAGAGATCCTTGGAAACTGAGGCCCACAGAGGGAAAGTGACTTGCCCAAGCTCACACAGAGGTGGGCAGAGCTGGGCTGATTCCCGGCAAAGGTCCTTCACTCTCTTCACCGAAGTGGCCAGCTGACATGCTGCAGGATTCAAGCCTCCCCCAGAAGGTGGGAACAGCAGGAATGTGTAACCAGAAACAGAGGAGGTTGGGGGAGAGAGTCTTAAGCTTGGGCCCAGGCCACTCAAGCATTTAATCCCAGGGTAATGCCTTGATGGCTGCCCCATCTGCCCCAGGTCCTGTCCATGCCACCCACTAACGATTCCTTATTCATTCATTTATTTTTAAATATTTTTGTGTTTGTTTTCCATTCTTTGTGTTTACAAGGAAAGCTACATAAACAATCCCAGAAAGAGGCCACCAGATCTGACCAGCTGCTTGGGTTCAAGTTCGAAGTCAATGTTTTTGGGAAATGGGTCTTTTCTCCTACCCTCCCCCTCCCCATCTGGCCCAAGTGGAGACCCCATTGTTTAGCATAACGCCAGGGCAGGAAGAACAGGGCAGGCACTGAGTGGTGTGCTTTATATGCACTGTGGTTCCCTGTCCCCAGAATAACCCAGGACTCCCATTTTGCCTATGGGGAAACTCACTTGCCGGAGATCACGTGGCCAGTCATTCAAACCCAGGAAGTTTCAGTTCTTGCTACTGTTCTAAAGGGGCCTCCAAAAATGGAGGTGGACCGCAGGGTGCAGGAGGAGACTGTGATGTGAGGGAAGGGTGGGAAGGGCAGGGCAGATGCCTCTTTTAAGGAAGGGTCTGCCGGCTGGAAACCACCCCCACCTCCCCATGCTGCTGGGGAAGACTGTGCAGTGCGTTTATGCAGTCAGACAAGAGCACACGTGCACACACGCACACACAGGTAAACACACACACAAACCCCTCATAGGCACCTCCACCTGCTCATGCACACATCAGTGGAGCCCATTGCAACAACGCGGGAAGTGAGCTGCCAGGCCAAGTCCTTGGGATGCATTCTTCACCTGGAGACTTGAGCTGGGACCAGCTCGGCTGCAGCCCCTGGATGCTGGCCCAGGTTTCCTTGAAACCTCAGCCTGACTCCTCTGCCCCTGGCTTGGTTCTGGGTAGGAAGTGGCACTCATGTTATCAAGGCCAGGAAGTGTCTCGGTTGCCCTTTGCTTTGGCTTTTCCATCTCAGGCTGTCCACTGGCCATGTCCAGGTGAGGAAACAAAAAGGCCACACCCACGCAGTGAATCCCTGATGGGCCCTGGCCCTGCAGAGATGGCTCCTTTAATCTTATCTCCAGACTTTCCTAGCATGAGATCCTCCCTGGCCTAGTTGAGAAGGATTAACAGAGACTCCCTCGCAGTGGGGATGAGATGGGGCCTCTGTGAATGTTTGCTGCATGAAAGAACAAATGAATGAATGAATGAATGGGTTGATGAATGGTTTTAGAGTGAGTGAATGAGGCACAAGGAGGGAGGGGTGAATGAAGGAGGAGTAACACACCCAGGTTCTGCATGGCAAGCAATTCATTCAGTTGGAAACAAGAAGCCTGCCCTCATGGAGTTTGCATTTTCACACACACACACACACCCTATATATATTTTTTTTTAAATGTAAAAACACAAAAAGGGTCCACAACAGGCCACACTCCACAGCATCTATGCAACTTTTTGGGAAGATTGCACTATCTGCTAACTGTCATCTGACCTAGGAGTAGACTCACTGCTCTTCTTTAATTTCCTATAGCACATCTGAGAGAAGACACGTTCAAACAAGGCTGAACTGTAGGCTTGGGGATAACACCAGGAAATAAACCCAGAGGCCAGCCTGGCCCTTCATCTGGGCTCCCAAGTTCCTGGCGTTCACGCCCCTCTTGTTATTCAGGTGCCTGTGCAGACATCACTAGTTGAACTTGGCACTTTCTCACTGAGTCTAGAATCTTCAGAACTGTGCCCCAGGCAGCTACTGGCAGTCACTGGATGCAGACTCATGAAATAAAGCCTATTTGCCCTGCCTGGGCTAGAGAATCTGGCTGTGGTGATGTTGCTAATGCATCCTCAGCTATGGAAGTTCATGGGGAAGGCTTCCCTGCCTGCTCAGCCACAGAGGACCATGCAGGAAACAGGTACAGGTGGGGCTTGGTCAGTGGGTGAAGCGAGCTCCTGGCAAGGACTCCTCAGTCCAGGGACAGCAGCGGGGTTGCACCTGGGGAGGTTAGAGATCCTCTTAATCAACACTCTTATTGTGTTCAAGAGCCTCAGAGAGGCCTGGTGACTTTCCCAAAACCACACAGTGAGTGTCTAAACCCAGAAGCCTAGACTTTCACAGCCCAGGGCCCAGGCTCACCCATGAGTGGGGCCCAGGAGAGGCCTCCAGCCTCCCGATCCTGTCCAGTGTCCTTCCATTGTTCCCCTCTGCCTTCTTTTTCCTGGCATGTTCAGAGCTGGAAATGCTGCCCATCTTGCTGGGACCTGCTGAACTTCCTCTGCTGGGGACCCCTTCAGCCTCACTCCTAGTTTTGGAAACTTAAATTTTTCCAAGAGTTTTGCAGTAGAAGGGGTTAGGAGGTACAGGAAGCTCTCTCGTGTTCTCCCAGAGGGCAGCTCTGGAGCCACCAGGGGCACAGAGGCACGCTGTCTCAAGTACCCCAACCCATCTGCTGTGTTCTTCCCTGACCCGAGGAGTAAAAATCTCCGTCCAAGTCTGAAGCTTCTAAAATGGTTCTTGGACAGTCCTGGAAGAGCTGGCAAACCTGCCTTCCTTGGAGCTTGGATAGAGTCAGATCTGGAAACAGCAGCTCTGATTTATTAAGTGGGGATATGGGCAGGCTGGGCATAGGGTAGGCCAGCTGGCACTTGGTTGATGTCACAGATGAGTAGTCAGGGGCCTGGGACAGTAAGAAGCTGAGCTCATGGTGGGGAGGTCGCTGGGTGCTGAGTGGGCTGGCCAGCAAGTGGGTGGGAAGGCTGAGGGCTAGACGGGAGGAGGCTTGCTGATGGGAGTGTGGGTGGAGACCAGAGATCACCAGGAAGGGCGTTGATGTGGGGTAGGCCAGGTGGTTGCAGGGGAGTAGGGTAAGTGTAGTGGGTCAGACTGGGAGTTGGGGAGCGCGCTGAGCGCTGGGTGGGCTGGATATTGGCTGGGTGAGTTGGTGGTGGGATGGGAGACATGGGAGGCTGGCAAGTTAGGGGTGTGGGTGTAACCAGCTATGGAGTGGCAGGATTGGGCCGGAGAGGGCCCATGCTCCACTCCATCTTCTTTTTGGCATTGGATACTTGACAGCTGCTGAGTCAAATGCCCCGCTCCTCCATCGCCTCCTTCAGGGGCAGACCAGCCTCCAGGCCTCCACAGCTCCCCACCCACCTATTAGCCTGTTCTGTGCTGAGGGAGTGGACCCAGGGAGGACAGTAGATATTCAGAGCGGTGGTCAGGGCCCAACCTACTTGAGCCAGGCCAGAGTGACCTCTGGAGGCTTTCCAGAAACCTTTGGCAAGTCCCTTACCCTCTCATATTGCACAGGCCTAGCTGTTTGGGGAGGATGTGGAGCAGGGAGAGGACTCAGAGTAAGGGGAGGACTCAGCGGGTGGCTTTCCACAGGAGGGCATAATTGTGAGCCCCACAGAGCCAGCCTGGCTGTGGGTTCCATAGCCCCATTGGGGAATGCAGGGCTGAGGCCTGGGACAGGGAGGACTCGGAGCAGGGGTGCAGCAGGGGAGCCCAAAAAGAGCCTTGAAGAAGCCACCATGTAGATCCTTTACAAAAGAGTTCTGAGATGAATCGATGCTGGCATGGGCTTTTTAAAATTTTGTATTTCATTTTATTTTTAAGATAGGACCTTGCTCTGTCACCCAGGCTGGAGTGCAGTGGCGCTATGATAACTCACTGCAGCCTGGGATTTCTGGGTTCAAGGGATCTTCCTGCATCTGCCTCCCTAGTAGCTAGGATTATGGGCACACACCATCATACACAGCTAAGTTTTTTTATGTTTCTGTAGAAGACAGGATCTCACTATGTTAGCTAGGCTGATCTTGAACTCCTGGAGAGGGCTCAGGTGATCCTCCCTCCTTGACCTCCCAAAGTGCTGGGATTACAGGTGTGAGCCACTGCGCCCAGCCTGGCATGGGCTTTGGTGCCATCCAGGAAGAGTCTGTGGAGACAAATAAGGATTCAACAGGTTCACAGTGCAGTTGTTGAACCACCTGAGTCCAGAGGCAGTCTGCACAAGTGCTTAGGAACAAGGGCTGTGGCCCTAGCCTACTGATATCCAAACCCCTGGCTCTGTGACCTCAGGCAAAGCTCTTAACATCTCTGTGCCTTGTTTTCCTCATCCATCAAATGGGGATAACATGATGATCCCTACCTTATAGGGTTAGGAGGAGTAAATATATTACTATGTGAGAGGTGCTAAGAAGAGCTCTTGCAAAGGCTAAGTGGTGCATGAATGAGTTGTTGTTGTGGTGACATTGTTCATATTATGAAGACAGACTGGCCAAGCACATCTCATTACCCAGCCACTTACCTGTGCTTGTCTCCAAAGTAACCGGTCTTTGTTTTAAAGGGGAGCCCCAGGGCCAGCCATGGGCGGCTTTGCTGTCATCAAGTCCTGCCACTGCAGATCCTCGAAAGCAATAGAAGTGCAGGAATGAATTTAGGTATTTCAGACAGAGAGTATTTCTTCAGGCCCTCCTCTGTAGCAGGAACAGTGCCTCCATTCCCAATATCTACTTCAAATCAGGGGGCAGTGAGGGAGGGAGACAGAGAATGATGGTGCTTAATGGAGGGGACTCTTCCTACCTTAGGAGAGGCTAAGGAAGAGAGAAGGCCCTGCCCCGGCCCCTGCAGGCATTCCAGGGAACCGGTGTGGGACCACAGGCACTGTGGATTGTCTGCAGAGGGAGATGAGAGGGCAGTTGGACGGCCTCATCACTGGGTTCTCTCACCTGCCAAGGCCTGGGCATCAGCTGTCCAGCCAAGAGCGCCCTCTATGGAAGGGGCTGGCCGCTGGAGAGGAAGCCTAGGCCATGCCAGTCTCCTTCCCAGGGCCAGGCCGGGGCCAAGGCCAGCTCTCAGGCCACAGATGCTTTGCTGGCCCCTGCCCCAGGAACTGTCCAGTGCATAGTCACCCTGTCCGGGGCCCGTTGCTCACTCTCAAGTCCCACTCTGCTTCCAGCCACTTCCTTCTCCTGGTCTTGGCCTCTCTTCTGTTCCCAGCTTGGTCTCAGACACACCCTGGGTCATAATGAGCGTCCTCCAGGGCTTCTCAACAGAGGTATGTGTGTGTGATGGGGCAGCCAAGTCAGGGAGGGGCCTTGGATGGCATTGTTCCCTCCCTAAAACCAACTGTGGAACCCTGGACAAGTGAATTTACCTCTCTAGGCCTCCTTGACCTTGGGTCTAAAGTTATGGAGGGGCTTCTTTGGTTAAGAGGAGTGGGTTGGAAGAAGATATTAGTCGTGTCGAAGAAACAGTGGAATTGAGATGATTACTGGAGCCACAAAGCCACAGCTTTTATCTCCTTTATTACCACAAACTCAGCCACTTCCCTGGCTGATGCAGCAGCCACACACCGCCTCTGCGCATGTGCCCAGTTCTGTGACTTAGAACCAGGGACTTCTAACCTGGAGCTTCTTCTTGGGTCTTAGTATCAAAGTCTAACTGAATTGGCAAAATTGGAGGAGCGGAAGGAAAAGCAGACTCTGTGTGTGTGTATGTGTGTGTGCGTGTGCGTGTGCATGTGTTGGTGCATGCCTCTGTGTGTGTGTGACCATGTGTTGGTGTCTGCCTCTGTGTGCGTGTGTTTGTACATACCTCTGTGTGTGTGTGTTAATGTGTGCTTCTGTGTGTGTGTGCATGTGTGTGTGCATGTGTATGTGCATGTGTTGGTGCATGCCTCTGTGTGTGTGTGTGTGCATGTGTGCATGCCTGTGTGAGTGTGCATGTATCGGTGCATGCCTCTGTGTGTGTGTGTGTATTGATGCATGCCTCTGTGTGTGTGTGAGTGTGTTTGTGTCAGTGCATGCCTCTGTGTGTGTGTGTGCATGTGTGCATGCCTGTGTGAGTGTGCATGTGTTGGTGCATGCCTCTGTGTGTGTGTGAGTGTGCGTGTGTTGATGCATGCCTCTGTGTGTGAGTGTGCGTGTGGTGGTGCATGCCTCTGTGTGTGTGTGTGTGCAGGCCTCTGTGTGAGTGTGTGTGTGTTGGTGCATGCCTCTGTGTGAGTGTGTGTGTTTTTGCATGCCTCTCTGTATGTGTGCATGTATTGGTGCCTGTGTTTGTGCATGCCTGTGTGTGTGCGAGTGTGCGTGCTGCATGCACTCATGCATTTATATTTGTATTTGTATTTGGTATCAAAGGCAGATCCCAGGGCTTTGGATTTATCTGTGTGTCCCATCCCCTTTGTAGCACCCAATCGCTTGCATAATAACAAAGAGATGACAGGAACAGCCATTATTTATTTTACCTTTCCTTTGGGAAGATAAAGGAAGAGAAAAACAAGACTTTTTCTTGCAATTTTCCTGAGAAGAAACTCAGGCACAGAGAGATTGCGTGAGCTGTCTAAAGTCACCCAGTGAGTCAGAACTACATCTAGGCCTGAAAGCCAAATGTTTGGAGTCCCTGCTGGGCAGCTCCCAACAGAGGGTGGGGTTCAAATGTTGCTGTTGGCCCCCTCCCTGCAGCTCCCTCTCCTGCTCCTGGGCATCCCAGGGGCCATCTTCCTTCTCTGCTTCTCAGGGAGCCCTAGGAAGAGGGGTATTGGCCAGAAGGCTGGGGGCCGCTCTGTAACATCTGCAACAGGCTGCCCTGCAGGACCTCACAGAGCGGGAATGCTCCATACCCACTTCCTGAGAAGGCTGATAGCACTGACTGGTGACCTGGTCCCTTGAAAGGACAGCTGGTATGCCTGGAAGCCAGATCACAGTCCCCAGGGCAGGGCACCCAGGGGATCCTGGCCCCTTCCTTCCAGAAAAGGTCACACTCCTGCTACCCAGTGTGCTCTAGAGCAGTGGTCCCCAACCTTTGGCACCAGGAACCAGTTTCATGTAAGAGAATTTTTCCATCGACGGGGTGGGGGTCGGGGGGTGATGGTTTCGGGATGAGACTGTTCCACCTCAGATCATCAGGCATTAGGTTCTCTCTGACCCTCAGTTGAGAGTCCTCTCCTCCGAAAACACAGTGCCCAGAAGGAGAGATGAGCCCCAGGCATGAGGGGAGACCACATTCAGTGCCTCAGTTTCCCTCTCTGGAAACAGAGCTGCTTTTTCTTGACGTTTTGCTGGTGGAGAGGCTGCATGTTCTGGAAATGACCCTCGGCAGAGCCCGGAGAGCTGTCACTGTCTCCAACTGCACCCCAGCCGCACTGCCTTTACTTCCTCCGACTTGCCAAGATCTTGCCCACCTCGGGGCTTTGACCACGCTGTTCCGCGTGCCTGTAACTCCCTGTTCTTCTTCTCCTAGCTAAGTCCTGCTCATCCCTCAGGTGTCCCCATGGGAACAAGTGTCATGGAAAGACAAGGCCTGGAATGAGCCCCTGGCCCCAACGTGAGATGGGAGGGATGAGGAGGATGGGACAAAAGAGAGCAAGAAGAGAGTCTGGGAGGGCAGACCCCAGATCCAAGGGAAGGAGGCGGCCCAGACGGCAGGGAGAGCACTTGAACCTAGATATCCTGGATCCTCCATGACCACTGCCCCAGGCCAGAAGATGATCTTGAGGCCTGGGGCCAGCCTCGGGAGAGCGGGGCTGTGGCACCTCTCTGTGCCCGTCACACCCTGAACTCTACCTCTGGGCCTTTGTTCACCCTGTTCCCCCCTGGACTGCCACCCACCTTGTCTCTACTTGTAAATCCAGCCCACAGCTCAGGGCCAAACCCTGAGTTCCTCTGTTCCCAGTCACCCTGGCACAGCTGCCTCAGGCCAAGGCTGGCTGCCCTAGTCCGGCCTTTCTGTGGACAGGGACACGATTTCATTCAGCTCCTTATTCCCCCCCTCCCCACCCCAGCAGGCCCTCTACTCCCTCCCCTCCACCACCGTCTCCCTGCCAACCTCAGGCGTGGCACAGAGCAGGTGTTGTGTTCATAGTTGCTGACCAGAATGAGAAGGTCATCGTCGCCCAGCTGAGCCGGGCTTGGGCTCTGATTCCTCAAGTGGCAGAGCCGTGCCCATGGCCCGAATGACCGGACAAGCTGGCGTCCAAAGAGAGGCGGGTCCTGGAGCTCTCTGCACTTGCCTCCCTTCCCTAAGTTCCCTCTGGAGGGAGAGTCTCACCATGAGCGTCTGCTCTTCCGCCCCGGCCGGGCTCACCGTGTCTCACTCTCAGTGCTCCTGGGGCCTTCCTGACTCTCCCCTTGCTCCTGTGGATTTCCATCGTTTTTTTTTGTTTGTTTGTTTGTTTTGTTTTTTTTGAGATGGAGTCTTGCTTTTGTTACCCAGGCTGGAGTGCAATAGCACAATGTCAGCTCACTGCAACTTCCACCTCCCAAGTTCAAGCGATTCTCCTGCCTCAGCCTTCTGAGTAGCTGGGATCACAGGTATGCACCACCACACCCAGCTAATTTTGTATATTTAAGAGAGACGAGGCTTCTCCATGTGGGCCAGGCTGGTCTCGAACTCCTGACCTCAGGTGATCCACCTGCCTTGGCCTCCCAAAATGCTGGGATTACAGGCGTGAGCCACCACACCCAGCCTGGATTTCCTTAACCATCATTGCAATGCTGTCATTCCCTTGTCCCAAGCACTCCATGGCTCCCAATGGCCTCTGTCTGGGGACACTCAGGCCCCGGGTGTGCTGGCTCCGCCTGCCTCTCTGGCCGCACATGCCGGTGGCCTCCTGCGTGCTCTGCCGGCTCTCCCTCAGCTGTGCCGTGGATTTGGGGCACAGCTTCATTGGATTCCCTTTCTCCAATGAAGTCACCCACCCTTGTAGAGTCACTCAATGTCACCCACTCAGAGAAACCAACTCCCTCGGCCTCCAGGCATTTCTGTCCAGGTTCTATGGACACCTGTGTGAGGGGGCCTGGGGTTACACAAGTGCGTCCCTCTCTCCTGCCACTCTCAGGACGGAGACCTCATGTTCTTCCCCCGTGTCGGCGGCTTTGCCCAGGACCATGGCCGCTCTAGGCCTCAAAACATGCCCGTGGAGGGGGTGGTCCAGGGCCTGCTGCTCCAGGGGCTCAGAGCAGGGAAGGCCCCCACTCCCATTCCTGGCAGGGTGGGGACTGGCTGGTGAGCATTCTCACAGGCTGTGGATGGCTGATGTCTGGCTGCTCTGGAGAGCCGGCTGAGCTGAGGAAAGGGGAGAGCTCAGAGCCTGGACGCCGGCAGTGGGTGAGGAGGCACAGAAAGTGAGGCTGCAGGCTCTGAGGATTCCACAGGTCTGGGGAGAAAGGGTGGGAGGCGGGGAACACAGTGGCTAGACCCGGTCATCATCCCAGCCAGGGCCCTGAGTGCAGTCTCCCAGTGGCCCCAGAGCTCCCCCACCGCACCCCCCACCACTACCACCACTGGCTCTGGGGTTCCCTGGCTCAGCCTGCAAGGCCCAGGATGGAGGGGGGGAGGGAGGGAGGGCACCAGGCAGGGACACTAATCCCAACTCCTTCTCCTGCCTATGTAAACACAT